ACCTGTAATCCCAGCACTTTGGGAGGCTGAGGTAAGAGGATTTCTTGAGCTCAGGAGTTCAAGACCAGCCTGGAAAACAAGGTGAAACCCCGTTTCTACAAAAAATTAAACAATTAGCCAAGCATGGTGGCGTGTACCTGTATTCCCAGCTATTTGGGAGGTTAATGTAGGAGGAAGGCTTGAGTTCAGGAGGTGGAGGTTGCCAAGATGGTAGCCACTGCACTCCAGCCTGGGCGACAGAGCCAGACCCTGTCTCAAAAAGGAAAAAACAAAAACATATTTTGTATGTCATATACATCATATACTGTACTCTCTCCCCCTCCTCCCCCTGCTTTTTTTTTAGAGATGGGTCTTGCTCTGTCACGAAGGTTGGAGTGCAGTGACGTGACCATAGCTCAACTGCAGCCTGAAACTCAGCTCAAGGGATCTTCCTGCCTCAGCCTCCTGAGTAGCCAGGACTACAGGCGCATGCCACCACGCCTGGCTTATATAGTGTATTCTCATCATAAAGTAAGCTAGAGAAAAGAAAATATTACTAAGAAAATCATAAGGAAGAGAAAATATATTTACTATTCATTAAGTGGAAATGGATCATCATAAAATTCTTCATCATCACCTTCACGTTGAGCAGGCTGAGGAGGAAGAGGAGGAAGGGTTGGTCGTGCTGTTTCAAGAGTGGCAGAGGCAGAAGAGGTGGAGAAGGGGGAAGGGGAGCAGAAGAGGCAGGCACACTGGTACAACTTTATGGAAACACATCATAGTTTCTGTCTGATTTTTTTGCTGCTTTTTCATTTCTCTAGACATTTCTATACAGTACCGATCCTTCTTCTACTGTTTACTTTAGTTTCAGTGCCCATATCATAGAAGGCTGTAAGTCATAAAAGAAGTCAAAAGCAGTCTTAAATGATGGAAACCCTCCTGCCAGATTGTCTAATGTCCATTTGTTTTCTGGCACTGCCCCTTTTCCATCTTCCTCATCATCTGACACTGGTTCAGAAGCACTCATCTCTACCAAGTTGTATTCTAATTCCTCTGGTATGGTGTCTGCTAGCTCTTCAATTTCTCCAAAATCCATGTCTTGAAACCCTTCACGCTCTGCCTTTTTTTTTTTTCCATATCCACAGTCTCTTTCGTGATTTCCTTGATTGACTCTTGTCATCATTTCCTATGAAGTAATGCATAATATCTGGGTATAGTTTTCTCTAGTAGTCACACTATTGGATATAGTTTTCTCCTGTAGGAATTTGTTTCAGGTTTAATGGCTTTCACAGCTTTTTCTATAACAATGATGGTGTCTTCAATGGTGTAATCCTTCCAGACTTTCATGATGGGGTTCTCTTCCGTAGGGTTGACCATCCTTTCCATAGAGCACCATGTGTAATGAGTCTTAAAGATCTTTATGACAACCTGATCTATAGGCTGAATTGGAAGTGTTGTGTTTGGGGGTAAGTAGGCCACTTCAACACCAAAGGTGTTGAACTCATGGGGTTCTGAGTGGCCAAGGGCATTGTCCAACATCAAAATAACTTTAAAAGGCCATCCTGGCTGGGCGCGGTGGCTCATGCCTGTAATCCCAGCACTTTGGGAGGCTGAGGAGGGTGGATCACCTGAAGTCAGGAGTTCAAGACCAGCCTGGCCAACATGGTGAAACCCTGTCTCTACTAAAAGTACAAAAATTAGCTGGGCATGGTGGCGTGTGCCTGTAATCCCAGCTACTTGGGAGGCTGAGGCACGAGAATTGATTGAACTCAGGAGGTGGAGGTTGTGGTGAACCGAGATTGTGCCATTGCACTCTAGCCTGGGCAACAAGAGCGAAACTCCATCTGAAAAGAAAAAGAAAAAGCTTCCAGATAGGTGAACATGTGAAGGTTCCTGGAGGGGTAGCATGCATACCCAAGGAGGGCATGGAATCTCTGCTCCGCTTCCCCCATATCTCACCCACAACATCTCTTCATCTGTATCCTTTGTGATATCCTTATAATGAACCAGCAAATGAAACACAACCAGAGTTTGATAAAATTTGTCCAAATTGGGCAGAGTCTAAGTGACATGCCAGTGGCTTGTGCATCTCACCATCTGAGGGACCCCACCTGATAATGGTGTTGTGAGGAACACAACAACTAGACTCTCTAGCTGCAGGCAGTGGATGCCTGGGAAGGAAGATCTGTGGCTGCAGACAGAAATCTACTGGCTCTAACCTGCCAGTCGTGGTCTGTATTTCCTTGTGCCTTAATTTCCCTTTAATAAAATAGGATGGTGGGCCGGGTGCAGTGGTTCACGCCTGTAATCCCAGCACTTTGGGAGGCCGAGGCAGGCAGATCACCTGAGGTCAGGAGTTCGAGACCAACATCATTACCTCAGTTTCAACACAGTTGTCCTTAGTCCTCATGTCACTGCTTTGGTGCTGCCTGTTGTGGAAGCAGTAGAAGCCAGTGATGCAATCGCCCTTTTGTTAGGTGTGGTTCTCAGCATTACAGGCATTTGTGCCTGCTTGCGGGTATATGCACGAAAAAGAAATCGACGAATGTGATTTTGAAAGGCCTACTGAGTCAAACTTCACCTTGAAAACCTTTGTGCTATAGAGGCTAAACTTGAGCTCTGGTGTGTGAAAGGTTCCAAGAATCAGTAAATAAGGGAGTTTCACATTTTTCATTGTTTCCATGAAATGGGAACAAACATACATTTACAAATGGAAAAAAAAAAATGTTTTCTTTACAACAAATAATGCACAGAAAAATGCAGCCTATAATTTGCTAGTTAGAAAGGAGGTCAAAGAAGTAAAATGG